AAGAAGTGCACGTTGCTTAAGCGCGCACACTGCGCTCGCCAAATATCCACCATGTCGTTCATCCTGCCTCTGACGATGGTGACCAGGTGGGCCCTTACTACATTTGGTACGCCAGCGGATGTCACTTCACCAGTGGCACCGACTATGCCGTCGCCCTGCATCTCACCACCGCCTCAGGCGGGAGATCCGGCGGGAGATCCGCGGAGGGGTCACCAGCCATTTTGCTCTGGGACCAGCATCACTGACTGCTACTATATGTATACGTACTGCTATAAAGAGGAAAGATCACAACTTAAAGAGATGAGGAGTCACATGGAGGGATGATGCTTTCGACAAGGGGTGAGATGGTTCATTCTTTACAAAGATGAATTTTGCGCAAGTGGTGCACTGATGGAAGGAAAAGCATGCAGAAAGTGTGGAAGGAAAGAAAAGATGCGGAATGGATGTTCAACCGCTTCGCCCGAGCAGCATCGCTGCTCGTGCTTGCTCGAACAACTCCCTTCGCTCCGTGCGAAGCCAGGTAGCTATATGCATCTCATGGATCTGCAAGTCCCAGGCGGGAGGAACATGAGGCTGAAGCGCCGGCTGAAGCGCCTCCGGACCAACTCGGGCAAGGACACGGTGGTTTGTCCGGTTGGTCCGGGAGAAGGCTTTACTTTTGGGTCGGATCCGGTCGTTTTGACTTTGAAAGGTATGGTGCTATGGATGTGCCATGGGTCCGTCCATGTTCTCCAATTCGGTGAAGGAACACCCCACTCCCACTCCCATCAGCATTCGGCGAATTCGTTCGACAACCTGGGAAGTATACTAAGTATATATGTCTTTATTATTCTTTACTATTTTTGTAAAAGCTTTAAAACCGTTTGACCATGTTTGGCTGCTTGGTGCCGCTGGGACGTCTTTGGAGCTTCACCCAAAATCACCAACGCGGCGAAGGCTTGCCCAGTGCACCAGTGACCGGTTTGACCTTCAATGACTACGACGTGCGGCCGGGCTTCATGCGCGGGGAGGCCTCGGCGCGTGGAGCGGAAGACCTCGCGCAACGTCGCCAGTGTTGAGACCTTCTTTTCCAAGGGGAGAATGCGCCCAAGAGCGCAGCATGTCCGCGGAAAAGCCTGCCGAAGCGCCACTCAAACCAAAGCAGACAAGAAATACAACACAAGATGGAACCCACGAGACACGAACAAGGCTCTACCCCCAGACCCCCAGAGTTCAACGAGAACCCTTCGCTACGCATTCGGGAAAAAACGGATTTCAACATGTCCATTCTGCGTATGTCTTGACATGTTGACCCTTTGCGCGTCTTGCGGAGGTGAGCATCCAGGGTCTTGAAGACGAGACGGGCATCCTGCAGTACCGTGCCTACTTCGGCCAATCCAATAGCTCGAAGAGCCTTGGAGCGGAAGGGATCCGGTTTGATGTGTGGATGGTTCTCTCCGTGATCCCCTTGAGAAAGAGGCGGTCACATCTTTCTCACACAGAAACCTTCACATGTTGGCATGTGGCCACCCAGAGATTTGTGAGTTTGGCCCGCTTTGCCTGGGCAGACATCACCAATCCAATTCAAAACTCGTATATAAAGCACATTTATAGAGAACCTAAATGTTTTAAAAAAGAATTAGAGAACCCTATAATGGATTTGATTAAACATTATATATATAATATGTTCTCAACCAATCAGAGGTAGAACAAGGCACCGACTCCAGGGTGGAGTACATCACGGACGAACGCGCGGCGAAGATCGGCTGGATCAACACCTTCGCGTCCGGCGGCCTGCGGAGCGGCTTCAACAACGTGCCTCGGCGACCGGCGGTGCGGTGGTGTGGTGTGTTGGTGTGGGTGACCTCAGGGTGGGGAGGTGCCAGGTTCTGGAGCTGGCTGGGTGGGTTAGCCTCTAGCAGCGGTGTTCCGTGGGGTGTCGACGTGGAGCTGGAAAGGGTCGCAGAAGGAACCGCACCCGCGCCTTGGCGGGGCCTGGCGGGCCTTGCGGGCCTTGCGAAAGCCCAGGAGTGCCTCTACGGAGATTGCAACTGGGAAATGCAGCTGGCCAGAAGTGCTCAGAACGGTCGAGCCTATCCACAGTACATCATCAGGCGACCGAAACGGAGACCGAAAGTATGGTGTGGGGGCTCTCGGTGGAGATCTGTTGCTCCAACCTTGCGGAGGGAGAGAACAATCCAAACCGAACCAACTGCCGCTCGCCGCCGCGTCTCTGCGCCAGGCACAAGAACACCAACTACTGCGTGTGTTATCCCTTCCAGGAGCAATCACAACAGTCACACCGGCAGCGAATCCAGAGCCCGATTTCTCAAAGGTCAAATGCCGAAGCCAAAACCAAATCCTTTGGTGGAACGAGATGGCCGGGTTTTTCTTCAGGAGCTTTCGCAGATCCCTTGTCCCACACATGTGCTCACCGTGGACTCCGCGCCCAAGTGCCTTGGTGGACCGGGAGCGATGGCCGACTGCCACTCACACGGGTTTGTCGTTTGGCCGTGCTTGGTGGGTCCGGTTGACAGATCTCTATATCCTGAGGTTTTAGTTAGATGAATCATGTGATTCCGCACCTATAGCGCTTGTGAATTTCATGTTTGATTGTTTTTTTGAATCCATTTTCATGTTTGATTCATCAATCAAAATATAAGCATTTAACATCTCAACTAACTCAACACAGAATTCACTTTCATGATTCAATGTAAGCTACATGCGACAACCTCACAGAGACTCATCAGCTCACATGGCAGATACCAGCGGTTCTTATGAGCGCATGCCTAGGTACAAGTACACGCCCACGGGCAATGGTGCTCTCTTAGACAGGACCGCCGGAACGAGCGACTGTGCATGAACGAGTCAAGCCCTGGTGAGTGAGTTTCTGGAGCAAGATGGAAGAAATGATACAGTTGATTTTGGTGATACGGTAGCTTCTTGCTCCTAGTAGCGATGCCCTTTGCTACTAGTAGCTATTTGCTCCTAGTAGTAAGGCCAGGAGCCCCTAGTAGCGTCCTTGCTCCTAGCAGCGATGCCGCGATGCCCTTTTGTTACTTAGAGTAGATTTTGGCGATGAAAAGTCTGTGTCATTTCATGCACGTCACGGTGGTTTTTAGTGAGAGCATCCTTCCAACCCTAAGGCAAGAGAACATACCTTCCCTGGATCACCTTTTGATCAAAACACCCTTGACACAGACTTGACATCTTGAGCGAAGCTGTCCGTAATCATGCCGTGTCACACCTCGCTGCTTCGGGCGACGCCAGGATTGATCGCTATTTCAAGACCGTTTGGTATCGAGACATTGGTCCGCGCGAAACCAAGACCTACGACAGCGTGAAGGTCGGGCGAAAGGGTTCGATCGAAACGGTCGCCAAGTGTCACAGTCCGAGCCTGGCGCGAGCCTGGCGAAGTGATCAAGGCTCCTGTAGAGCGCTTCGGTTCTCTTGTTATTTCTTGAACTTAAGCTGTTTGGAATGCACTTGTTTCTTTTTAGCGATGCACTTGTTACTAGCTAAGCTGTTTAAAGCCCTTGGAGCCGAACTCAATCTGGAGGCGATCATGGAGGAAGTGTGCAATGACTACGTTCCATGCATCTGGGACGAACGCCTCCGTCGAAGTCCGTCGCTTCGACGGTTCGACTGTCAGACGACCGAAACGCCCCTGCCGCGGCAAGGAGAGATCGAAATCGGGGACGCGTTTGATCGAAATCAGCTGGAGAACTCCACGTTTTGAGGTCGCTTTTGTGGAAACGGAACGGCGAGAGTGTACTAAGCGTGTGTCTCTACACATTCACCAAAAAGTCTCACGAGCGAAGAATTTCTCCAAACGTAGCATCGCTGTCGAAAGCGCCGAGTCTTTGAGTCTCTGCCAGACTCTTCACTCGGACTGGCGAAGACGCGACTGTCGTGTGAGCCGTGAGGTGTTGGGATTCTCATCTTGGAAGAAGCCTTTGCATCTCAGCTTTTCCAGGGCCGGGGGTGGCGGCAGGACCTGCGCGGTTTTCTTTTTTTTGGGGGGGGGCGGGGGAAGCCGAAGAAACGAATCGGGGTGGAATCGAAGAAGTGTCAACTCTGAAGGCTTGGATCATGTGATAGCATCGAAAAGCCGCAGTTCTCTGCTTGGGCGACCAAAGCTGTGGTGTTTTCTTTGTCCGACCGACGCCATCTCAGGATGCCATTCTATTCCTGGATCGAAGATATGGCACATCGGAATATCCAGGCGAGAGGAGTGAGCACGGGCACCGTCGCCCCTTTTCGGGCCATTTGGGCGATGGCCGGGCACCGGCAGGTCAGGGCGGTAAAGAGATGATTCTTCTGGACAGGAATCTGTTCACTGCCCGAAGATGAAAAAACATCACCGAAATTCCTCATGCTAGGTTGGAGGCCTCTTTTTTCTTTGTCTTCTTGACGTCCAGGTCTTTGGCCACCGGATTTGCATCCCATCTTGGTGGCCGCCGGCGCCGAGCAAGCATGGGAGGCCACCGAAGACCAAGCCGGAGCTGCCCAACGCCATCCCGGGGAAAGCGCGTAGATGTGTTTTTTGGGGGGGTCGTCACCCCATGAAAGTCGCAAGTCTTATTATTGTTATAGGTGTTGTTTGTTGGATCCCAAAATTGTGCTTCTTACATGTCCCGGGATTCTGCACTTTGAATCAGCTTCTCTTCCAGACACGCTGTGAAGACGAAAAGCAGAGGGCCACGTGTGGCCCTCCCCACGGACGACCAAGTCACCTCTGTCACCTCCCCACATCATGGCACGTCCCAAGATCCCGCACTCATCCAAAGCAGCTTCTTCTCCGCCCCAGAGAGGCCTATGGTACTTCCGAAGCGGTGGCACCGGCCAACCCCTCGCGCACCAGCCTGGACATCATCAGCCCGGACACTCAGAGACGGCGCTCCGCGGCGCTCCGCGGGTTGCCTCACCCGCTTGGGCGAGAGCTGCAGATCTTCCAAGGATTGTCCTTGAACTCGCTTCTCATCACAGCCCAGATATACTTGCCATACACCCCCCCCTGCCCCTGAACCAAAAACCCTCCAAATCACCCAGGTCTGCACAGACACAGCATCTCGGCCATTTTAGCTTCAAGCCTTCCCCCACCGAGCCTTCGCTCTTGGCGACATCCCCGCGGCGTCCGGTGCGCAGCGTCCGATGTCGATCGTGGTGAGCTCGGCGGCCTCGGGGGAAGAACTCGTGGCGCTGACGCTGGAGGACTTGGAGAACGAGGCGAGAGATCGATCGCGCTGGACGACAGGGGACGAAAGGGGACGAACACATGTGGCGTAGACCGAGGTGGGGAAAAACGTGTAAAGATTCTTGCAAGAATTTCTGTCATTTGGAGTTGTTGAACTAAATTCAGAGAGCATTAGGCCCCAAGCCGCAGGGGTGTTCATCGTCTCTTCTGAACAAAGTACGGAAGAAAATATTGTACAAGAAGAAAAGTCCCAGAGTGAAACTGTTGGCATCATCAACTCTTGGGTTCAAAGACAGATGCAAATCAAATATGATGATGATTGATTCATGATGATTTTGCACATTGGGTGGAACCATCCACGAATCGCTTTGGCCGTTGGTTTCGTGTCTTTTCCCCGGAGACCGTCGAAGCGCCAGGACTTGGAGTCGAAGGACTCGCCCAAGGATGTGAGACTCGGCGACGTCGCCGTCGTTCAACCGTTCCGTTGGTTCGCCGGTGGAAGTCAAAGGCTTGAACGGGTTGTTTAAGAAAAGGGTGTCAAATCCTTCTGGTTCGCTAAAGCCCATTTGACGGAGTGGTTGGACGTCTAGGTGCCTAAGGTCTTTAAAGGTGCCTTAAAGGACGAAAGAAGGAACAGGTCCTTGTTGACTGAAACCGTTGCTTTGCGATTTGCACAGTTCCGCGATTTCGTGAAGGGATGAGTAGCTAAAGCACAAGATCAATCTGGGGGCCTTGAGGCCATCCATCCAAGACCTAACATGCGACGTTCCGTTTGAAGCCTCAAGTCGTGTTGGTCATGTCATTGTGTTTGCTTTCTTGTGATAAAACCCTGAGTTTCAAACTGTATCAGACATGTTCCGGACAGTCGGTTGCTATGTTCACATGTGCAACCATCCGACCGAGGAAAATGTTGAAGAGATGTTTGACCACTCGCCTTGGATATCCCAGATTCAGGCCGTCCACTGCGATCCTTCAGTTTGGATACAAAGAATCCTTCAGTTCCTCTTAGTTTTGTACATCATCAACATCCTTCAAAAACCTGTAGACGATCCAAGCCCTGTTGGATGAGCTCATATGGCTCCACTCCTCCTTCCTCCAGGCAGCGTCTCTTGGACCATGAGGGCCTCCGAAGCGACGCGGCTCCGCTGCTGCAACCGGACGCGCTCCGCGACGCGGCGGAGGGCCCTCCCACGGTGCGGCTGCAACTGGTGCTCTTGGACTTTCTGCCTCCCGAGAGAGAACGCGACCAGGAGTTCTTGGCAGCCTGTGCTGAGAATCGAGCAGAGCCTCAGAAAAGACCAACAAACACCTCTCAACTCAGAAGGATTCGGTATTGTCGTCTCTAAGTAGCTTCCCTGTGTTCTTTTGCTACTTCCGATTCGGTTTCTTCGTTTGTTTCTTGTTGCTTCGGCTACTGGGTTCGTGGGGTCCACTGTGTTCTTTTGCATGAACTGTTGTTCGTGGCACGCTTCGTGTCCACTGAGGAGGCGGTCGAAGAGATGCTCCAGTTACCTCAAAATCCCAACACGGTCGCCTTGGCCAATGGAAGAGGAGCACTGCATCTCGCAGCAGAGGAGGGACATGTTTCATGCCTGCGGCTCTTGCTGGAAGCCAGGGCAGACAAGGATGCTGCACTTGACGATTACACACCCTTGCATTTGGCCACTCGCAATGGACATGTGGAGGCTTCGAGCCTTGGAGACGTCAGTCTCGTGTTGAGAAGCGAACCATCAAGCCACTTCTTGGAGCTTTCCCACGTATTTGGTCGTTCTGGATGAGGAAGATTCAGAGTTTGATGCACGATCTTTGTCGATAGATAGATAGATGGCCTCGCCTCATGTCTGTAACCAACCCCTCCCCTCACCTTGTCACCATGTCACGGTCGCAGGTGGTGGAGACCCTGCTGAAGTTCGGCGTCGAAAAGGACACGTCGACGCGCGAGGGCGCCACGCCGCTGCACGTGGCGTCTCTGCAGGGCCACGCGGAGGTGGTGCGAAGCCTCTTGCAGGTGGGGGTGATCGGACGAAGCCAACGGTTTTAGGGGGGGGTTTGGTCTGTGGTCGGAACTGCTCGTGGTGGTGGAAGGGAACCCGGAGAGAGTTCGTAGTTTTGGGAACTCAGAGGTTTCTTTCGTTGATCTAAAGGCTGTTGCACCAGGTCTCGCTCTTAGATCAGCGGTAGATCTAAACGATCATTGTGCCAGCTTCAATCTCCGAGGCTGGTGCAGACAAAGACAAGGCCACCTTTGATGAAGGCATCCAGAGCTGGGTGACGTTCTTTCTGTTGTTTTTGCCAGCTCCCTCTCCTCCCGACTTAATTAAGTAGAGACTACCTACTTAATTAAGTAAGTGGAGAGGTAGCTAGTAGGTACAGGACGCTCCTAGGTAGGACGCAGGATAGCTCGCGCTTCTTCAAGGAAGCTCCCGCCGCCGCCCTAGCTTCCTTGAAGAAGCCCTCGCACTAATGATTTAGTTCCTAGATTTTGGGGGAAACTTAACTAGTAGCGATGGCCTCCAACCTAAGAGAGAGAGAGAGAGAGAAAGAAATAGAAAGAGAGAGAAGAGAGGCCAACCTAATAGCGATGGCCTCTCCTTGTTTTCAAAGGAGGACTCCTCCAGTTGCTTTGCGTAGCAATTCGCCAGTTCTTTCACAGCTGTCGTGTCCACCCCGCCAGGTTTCACCCCTTTGCACTTGGCATGTCATCGTGGCTCACTGGAGGTGATTCAAATGTTACTAGCTGCTGGCGCCAACAAAGACACGACGTTGAGCAATGGCCACGGACTTTGCACTGTCAGATTCATCCCTTTTTGATCCTTTTTGTGTGAGTTTCTTCAAGGAGCCGGAGCCAGCAAGGGGTCAACCACCAGGAACCTGTTTTGTCGTTTCCCAGTGGTTTCATATATGTTTGACAGTTTGTCTCTTGTGCGTACGAACTCAGAACCTAAAGTTTCTTGCCCGCAGACCACAGAATGAGAATGGTCCGAATGGTTGAATTTGAGGCCAGACGCCGTTGCATTCCGCTGCCAACGTGGGTCATTTGGAAGTGGTACGGCTGTTGCTTTCGGTGGGTGCGGCATATGTGTTGACCCCCGACGGCCTCTCACCGTTACATGTGGCAGCGCATGAGGGTCACGTGGAGGTGGCGAAGGTGCTTCTGCAAGAGCCCAATGAGGACCTCACATCTTCAGTGGCCTGGAACTGGCGCAAGGAGGACTTTGTGGAGACTTTTTGTTGTCACTTTTGTCCATGTGAGACGTTTCTACGATGCACACAAATGCCCCACTTCTTCATAGGCTCAGATGCTTAGATGCTTTCTTTGATTAAGATCACTTCTCAACTGAACTGCCCTAAGAACCCTTGGACATCCTTGGACCCTCAATTCAGGGGGGTTGTACCCGGGGTTGGGCCCCGAAGCGGTCGAACGTCTGGAGCCCCGGCCCTCGTAGCGTCCGATCGCTCCGGACTCGAGTCGCGATGGTTTGTGCCTGGAACGAAGAAAGTCCAACTGCAACGAGACTTGAACTGAACTGTTGAACTGTGTTTTGGCCACGAAACTGAACTTTGCCACCTTTGGTGACGAAGAAAGCCGAACAACAGGTGACGCCTTTGCACATCGCTGCTCATGCTGGGCACTTGGACATGGTCCGACTTCTCCTCAGCGTGGCCGCCGATCTGAATCAAACGACGCCCAACCGGGGCACCGCGGCCGAAGTAGACGAAGCGGATGGAGGCGTTGTGTCTTCCTTTTCTAGTAAGGACGCTACGGTGGAGGCGATCGCTAGGTTGGAGGCCATTAGCAAGGAACGCTTCCTTGTGAAGCTTTTCCCCTTTTCCCACTACCCGAGGTGCTACGCCGCTCCACGCGGCAGCTCAGGAGGGTCGCTTCGACGTGGCCGAGCTCCTGCTGCAGCGGCGGGCGGACCTTCGCCGGGCCACGGACACGGGGTGCACCGCGTTACACGTGGCCGCGCAGAAGGGCCACGGCGCCTGGCCTTACTACTAGGAGCAAGGGCCTTACTAGAAGTAACAAGAAGCAAGTAGAAACATCCCCCTTACCTTATCCTTTATGAAATGGGGATCCTGTTCCTCTATAGAATGGGTTACCGGGGTCCCACTTCATAAAGGGTAGCACTCCGGCATAGTGGATCTTAGTCAGATGCCTAGGTTGGCCAGTCATTTTATAAAACACGCAGGTGTGGAGGCACACCCACAGTATGAGCATAGACACGCATCCATGTGGACTGCGGATAAGTCAATTCATAAACACTGCCTGTAGAGTTTAATGCAAGCTCTTTGTTGGATGTGCAGGTGTGGCTAAGCCATTTTATAAAAAATGGCTTCTTTCAATGATGGCTCAAGCATCCCGAAGATTGCCGAACACAACAGGACCTCACAAACAAAGACACGTAATCAAAAATAGAAGTGACATCCATAGAAAGTAACAAAAAAATTAAAAAATAGCAAAAGCCGTCATTGACAGAGACAAATCACATACATTCTGTCTTTGTCTATCTAGGCCAGCCGATTTAGGCAGGCAGTGGTGGAAATGCCGCCGCCACCCCCAATACCTGGTGGGGCGCCAAAAGATTGTGGAATTGGGTTGTGTGCAGCCCCAGTGGGAGACTTCACTTGGGATGAAATACGTCAGCTTTGGCGTAGCTTGGCCGACTTTGGCAGATGTATATTGTGTTGCAGATGTATTCTGTTGTTGTCGGGGTAGGAGTGGAATGGACTGGTGAGTGGAGAAATAATATGAAATCATTTGAAAAATGATTAATCATATATTTTCTGTTTTGGGATGTTTTGGGAAGCCAGCAAAAGGACCACCGCTGGCTGTAAACTTTTTTCTGAGGTGCTCGATGTACTCAACCTCGTGCAGGTGGGTCAGTGTCAAACCACGAATGCTACTTTGACACTGAAGTGCAACTTGGAAAATTTGAAGAGCACCTTTGAGGATCTTTGAGGATGGTTTTCCACGATTCCTCAAGTTTACCTCTTGAATCCTCTTGAGTCCTGTTGATACCTATTCTATCCATTCCTTTTTGATTTTGATTTATATTGACAGGTTGATAGGTTCTTACAGGTGTATTACGGTTTGTGAAATGGAGTTTCAACCTTCCAGTGGCTAGTATATTCATTGTGTTTCCAAAGAAATGCATTTCATAAATAGTTATTGTCATATATTAAGGTTGTGTCATAGGTTCATACAGGTTTATGAAATGGAGTGTCAACCTTCCAGTGGCTAGTTGATTCAGTGTTTCCAAAGAAATGCACTTCATAAACATTTCACCAGAGCACTACCGTACAATCTCATGCCACCCAGGAATCAATGGGTATGGACTTCCCGCTTATCCAAGAAGTTGGGAGCTGTCCGTCAGGCACTAACAGTCACACAAGATGTTGTTTTTTTCATGAGAGACATTGAAAGATCAACACAATCAAAGTATTTCGTGTTTTGCACAGGCTGTACTGAAGGAAGAAAAGAAGACATTAGTCAAGGCAGAAAAAACAGGACTGGATGAGGGCATTGTCGAATTAGAATCATTTACCCATGTGTGTCTCTGTGGCAAGCTTATTTGTGCGTGTATTTTTCACATTTTTTGTTCAAGAGTGCCCCGTTTGTGATTGTGAAGATTCGACCGTCGGTGATTGGGGCAATGGCAGCTCAAGTCTGGGCAATGTGGCTGATTGCTTTGGCTGGCTTCCTTTCATGCCACACAGTGGCCTGTTTACAAAAGGGGAAAGTGAGCAGATTTCTTTGAATGCAGAGTATGTG